TTGGGAAATGTTCCATTTCATTCAAATTTCCAAATTTGTTACTGTGGGAACTTAATGAGTTTTCCAAATATTATACTAACCCCATCCCTTTTTTTCCCCAACTGTGCTTTCTTTCCCCGTCCCTCCCTTTTTCTCGATTAGCTTAGCTTCCCAGCCTCTCAGTTGACTCTTCTAGAACCAGCAGGTGCCATTAGAGGTTTACCTTTGTGATTTTCAAGGAGCTCTGATGGCATAGTGCTAAGGCATTTGAGTGTTAACCAGAAGGTTGGTGGTTCAAACCCACCAGCCACCCTGTGGAAGGAAGACTGGGCAATCTACTTCCGTAAAGATTCACCACCTCAGAAACCCAAAGGGGGTTGCTATGAGTCAGAATCGACTTGATGGCAGTGAGTTGGGTTTTTAGTTTTTTCTGTGATTTTCTTCCTCTGTATCCTGGTCTTTTAGTTCTTTGTTTTCTCAGTAATTCAAGGCCTTAGCATAGATCTTTTGTATTTTGTCCATATTTTCCAGTCTTCAGCAAGAGGGTTGGTTTGAATTACATAGTCTACCAGTACTGGAAGCAGAACTCCCACCTGTCCTTTTAAGGTTAAAAAAAAAAAAAAAAAAAGGGGGGAGGGGAGGGGGAGCCTTCACAGAAATGTTGATAGTTAAAAATATTCACTCTCCTCAGTGGACAATTCAGATCATGTGTAAAAGCAGCAGTACTGGGTCTGACCTGAGAAAAACCCTTTCACAGAATGTATATTTGTACAGTGGGGTTATTCAAATTTTTTGGGGGGGTTAATTTCTATTGATCCTTTCTACTACCCTTTGTGAAAGTGAGATTAACATGGTAGATGTGAAAAGAATGCTGTTTAAGTGCCTAACAATTCAGATCTTTAACACAGGCAGGAGGTCTAGGCTGGAAACATATCTGTAATTCATTATCATCATAGAGCTGATAGTGGAAAAACTCACAAGGTTCAATGAATTGACAATGGAATTCAGATTTCAGAGGGTAGAGATAAAAGATATGTGGAAAGGTAGAAGTCCTACATAGCAGTGTGGCTTGCTCTTTGGGTAGACTCTGCCTTTGCCTCCAGGTAATTTTGATCATGGGTCAAGAGTCAGCAGCACTCAATTTCAACACCAACAACCACCTGCACACATGTACAAACATATATACATTAGGATACGGAACTATATATACATGATCAGTGTGTTTGTGTAACAGGCCCCCAGGGCCCAGTTAGTTCATTTAGATTCTCACGTACTCTCTCAAGCAATGGTGTGTTCAGGAAGCAGAAGTTATGGAAAATGGTGCTGGATCCAAGGATCTCAGCCGTATGGCTACACCATGAACAGACATAATTAATTTGCTGGCATAAAGTTTTTTTTTGAAATGCTATAGAATTCTCTTCCAGAGTAAAGAAAATGCCTTTTGTTCTCTTATTTTCCCAGTTCCTAGCTGTGTTCACTGAATGTAAAAGTAGGAAATGAAGTAATCACTGTTTTACTAGAGGAAACCTACATGTATTAGACATGTGGCACTTTTGGCTATGTACAAAAAAACTCAAAAACCAAACTCACTGCCATCGAATTGGATCTGACTCATAGAGACCCCTCCTTGGGTTTCCGAGGCAGGATCTCTATGGAAGTAGATTGCCCCATCTTCCTTCCAAGAAGTGGCTGGTGGGTTTGAACCACCAGCCTTCTGGTTAGCAGTCAAATGCCTTAGGCACAAAGCAATGTTTAAATACCATAAGGCCCTCTTTCATCTCAGTGTTTCATAATCAGCTTTTCCAAAAATTGTCTCATCTATTCTGACCCAATAAATGATAGTTCTGGAAGCTCTGCAAAATTACCTTGGCTTTCTTTGCAGTGATGTTGTTTAATGGACAGTATAATTATATATTTATACCCGGTTTTTAAAATCTATACACTTAATCTTCACTAAAACAAAAACACTCCTCAGAAGGAAGATTGGACAATCTACTTCTGTAGAGATACCACCTCAGAAACCCAAGGAAGGGTCTATATGAATTGGAGTCCACTTAATGGCAATTGAGTTTGGTTTTTTGTTTAAAACAAAAACAAACACATCTGTATCAATGCCTATGTGGGTTTATGCAGCACTACTAAGGCTTCTCAATATTCTATTATAGTATATATGTTTTATAAGAAAGTGAGAAATTAAAAAAAAATCAAAAACGAAACAAAAAAACCCAAACTCACTGTTGTCAAGTTGATTCAACTCACAGCAACCCCTCCTTGGGTTTCTGAAGCAGTATCTCTACGGAAGTAGATTACTCAATCTTCCTTCCGAGAAGGGGCTGGTGGGTTTGAACCACCATTGAAATTAATAATTTATATTCAATAATTACAGTAAGAATGTTTTGGTAGATTTTATTCACATAAAACTTTTTAATCATAAGCAAAGTCATTAGCTATGAATTTAAACAATATAGTCAAAAAATATTTAACTTAAGGCACTACATATAAATTTCTTTAAAGTACATTCATGACATTTTATTTACACATTATTTAAAAAACTGACAATAAATACTGACTCTCTATCTCACCTTTGTCCTTCATTGTAGCTTTGTCATTTTACCATGAAGTAAAGTCCTCCAAATAAAAGGGATTAAATGCAAACATATTCGAAGCTTCCTAGATACAGGTTAAGACAGGGCTCCATACAAGAGCAATGAAATGCACTTTTAATCCTTCAGTGTTACAACAACTTTGCTCTTCAAATACTTATAACAAACCCAATGGAACAATAACACAAAACCTATAGTACAGAGCATTCAAATATGTTTTATTCTATTGCTGTTTACCAGAACGTATACAATAATAGCAGCAGAACTGTCCCTCGCACTGAATATACTCATTACTCTGAAAGCAGTCACTCACTCACTGAATTAACAAAAAAACTAATCAAAAGTTTTCCTGTTACCTTTGACTGCTGTTGTCAGAAACAAGTCAATGTTTTCTGGAGCCAAATACTTTCTACATCCAGAAAACACAGTAGCAATTAATCCATTATATAAAAAATACACACCAAAACCTTAATGTAAAAGATTAACTTTACCAGAAGATTTTCCCAATGTATTAGAAGAGTCGTTGGTTTGAACAGTGATAATTTTTAAAGACACAAATGAACACAAAATTCTATATAAACGTCTCTTTGATCAAATACTGTTCTTCTCATCTCATCAACTTAAATATATTAAAACAATTTCTCCCATTTAAAATAAAGTTAATCTCTTGAGAATGAAATGAAAGGCAAGTAAGTAAACATGTTGTGTTGAAAGGGTTAAGACACTGACAGTCCCATCCTATCCCATCACATATAAAACCAACTCACGGGCTGGATGCCATATACCTGAAACTCATAACCATCAATCAAGCTAATGGAATCACTGAAACTCATACCACTGTAAAGACCAAGATCTACTCAATTAGCATAAAATATCCTACTACTATTTTTGACACTTCAAAATATGTCCACTACTTTAAGGGGGGGGTGCTTTATGTGACAATTTAATTCTTTGTTATTTTTTAAAATTAAAATTGAATTCAAAAAGAATTTTTCTATTCTTTCATTTCATTCAAATCCTTTCTCAACCTTCAGGAAAACTATTTTACATGAAGGGAAAAAAATAAAATAAAAGTTGCCAAGAAGCAAAATTAGTCCTATTGGCTTTATTTACTTATTATCCTGTTCTTAATCAACTCCTAAGATCAGTAGCATGGATTACATACAGTGGGTGTGGGAAAGCCTCTCAAGGGCCCCAAATGCACAAGGCACCAAAGACCAGTCTCTGGAAATCAGCAGTATCTGAGATGAATTAATTTTTCATTGGCACCACTGTTGTCCTTAACCATCACAATCAATGTTTAACTAGTCTGCATATTCACTGTACATTATTTTTGTGTCTACAAAACAAGTGACCACACTGATTTCATAATGTTAAAACTTTAAAGATCACACTGTTAATACCAATTGCTTGTCTCAAGTCCTGAATGGTTCTTGAACCCAGTTTTTCTCCTAGTAGATATAGTATGGTCTACCACAACTCAGTTTCCGGCAAAGGTGGGATGATAGTTTTTCACAATAAATCCTTCATTCTGAACAAGCATGTTAAAAGATATAAGCAGAGGGATTATTTCTGTGATCCAAAGACTAGAGAATAAAAGCAGAAACAGCCCTCAGGTTACTGAATGTTAACAGAATTAAGAGGTTATTCTGCCCTTTAACAAATGAAGGATAAATAAGGTCAAAACATACACATTCCATTTCAATTTCTTTACTGCTCTAATGCCTAAAAAGTAAAACAAAAAAGTTTTTCTTGGTCATTATGACCCAAGCAACAGGTAACAAATTTCTCTGCAGTACTTGGCCTTATGTTACAATAAACAACATAAGAAAGTTAAAAATGGTAAAGAAAATTAATGATTTTTTTAAATTATGATTTTAACTTATGAGTTAGGAGAAAGTAAATATGAAGTGCAAAAATAACCTTTTCTGAGGGCTGTGCTTTATATGAATGTGAAATCCCAACTATAGCCCAGTTCACCTGTGACTTCCAAAGTCACATGACATCCATGTGTGTACATGTGCACACACAAACACACAGCCAAATAACTTACACAAAAGCATTCACCAAGTCCCTTCAGTACTTTCCTCTATTCCGAATTTCTTGTTAGCAATTATCTCCAAAAGATAAAACTTTGAAGACTTCATCAGCTTAAGAGTTTTAACAAAGACACAATGGTGACAACTGAGGCTTTATATCACATGGTCTTAGTTTTCTTTTTGTAAAACAGCTTTCCTTAAAATTATTTATTCCTATGCTACATCTTCTCTGCCTGGTTAATCACTTTATTAACCAGTTCAGAGAAATATCCTACCTCAAGTGTTTACTTGGGATACAAACTCTAGTAAATATAAATATAAAAATATAGAAAACATTTCTTCCCTGATACACACAATGCAAGAATTGCATAAGGATTTCTGTTCTTTCATTTACAAATATATAAATGTATTAGAAATGCATGCCTACTAAATTTTGGTATATTCTCATTTAAAGATGAATCACTTCTTCATCACACAGAACACACATGAAAGCAGAGGGAATATTTTTCTCAAAAGATGTTTCTAGTTAGAGAACTAATAATGATTTACTAACAATTTTTACTATGGTCATGGTTATTTACATTGGCTAATACACCAAAGCAAAACACAAGAAAAAACAAAAAAAAATTCAGCATGCTTAGTCTAATTCTTTGTCTTTCAAAACAGCTTTTCATAGTTGTAACACCATTCCTTGGGTATATTCTTAGTTTTGTAATGAATCAAAGACATTTTATAAAGCCCCCCAGTACGTTACTCAATTAAAGGATCATCATCATCTTGTAGCTGAAGTCGGGAAAACTGAGGTGGTACAGACAGTCTGTTCTTCATGATTATTATAAGGCCCGTTAAAGTGGTTAACACCAAAAGTGCACCAATAACAATTCCAATGGCTTCTGGGAGATTAATGCACCACTGGTCAACTAACAAACACTTAGTATTGCCAAAGGTTCCATTATTGGGATGTGGTTTTAATCCCAGGATGTGGCACATCATTGGATAAATATCCACACTGTTAATTGTGGTGTGCTTGTATCCTTTATGAAACGCAGGACCGTGGGCAGCTAAAAATGGATGCATACTAGGCAATGAATTATCATAACCATGGTCACCTACTAAAAAAGAAAAAAATGCTGTTAGTAAACATGATCAGAGTTTCTGTTACAAAATAATTTATTTCTAGTCCCTGGGTGTTACAGATGGTTAACACATTTGGCTCCTAACTAAAAGGCTGGCAGTTCAAGTCCACACAGAGGTGCGTAATCATCCATTGAAAACTATGGAACACAGTTCTACTCTGACACACATAGGGTCATCACAAGCTGGAATCAACTCGACAACAATGGGTAAGTATAAGTACAGGTCCCTAGGTGGTACAAACAGTTTGAAGTTGATTAGTAACCTAAAGGTTGGTGGTTCAATACCACTCAGAGGTACTACAGAAGAAAAGGCTAGTCATTCCTTTAAGATTACAGCCAAGAATACCCTATGGAGCAGTTCTACTCTGCAATACATGGAATCGCTGTGAGATGGAAATGACTGCAAGACAACTAAAAACAATAACAAAGCCTTAAGTACATTAGATTCTTGCCGGTATAATTCCTGTCTGTTGATATTCTGGCTAGTTGGACCAGACGGGTCAGAAATTAAAATTTCTATTTTCTTCAACTGGGCCACACTTCCCATTTCACATCCTTCCTTTCCTCCCTCATTATCTACCACTTTCCCAATCTTTTAAGGCTTCAGACTTTCATGCTACTTCTCAAACTGATATACTTATCTTTCAGCCCTAGCCCCACTTATTCACTTGTCAATCTCTAGCACTGTTTGCAAAAGCCAACTGCAAACAGCACCAGTGAAAGTAGGAGTGGAAGGGCTGAGGGTCCTGAATAACTGGGGAAAGCAGAAGTGAGTAAGAACAGTGAGTGGGGAAGAAGTGAATCTGCAGCCTCACCTAACTCCATTGCTCATGTGATAGAACATAAAAAACAAGATTATATAATGTTCCACTGGTTTACATTTGACTGCTATCCAGAAGGCTGGTGGTTCAAACCCACCAGCCACTCCTTGGAAGGAAAATAGGGCAATCTACTTCCATAGTGATAACCAAAAACCAAACTCACCGCCGTGGAGTCAGATCTGACTCACAGTGACCCCTCCTTGGGTATCCAAGGTGGTATCACTACAGAAATAGATTGCCCAGCCTTAGTGATACCGCTTTGGAAACCTAAAGAGGGGTCACTATGAGTCGCATCTGATTCAACAGCAGTGTGTCTGGTTTGGTTTGGTTTAATAAATAACATCAGCAGGGTCAGACAACTGAGAATGTTGCAGAATGGATTCTTCTACTGAATCTGAAATCTAACCAGATGACTCCAATTGTAAATCTAGTAAAAGTCAGACTCAAAGAAAAAATATGATAGTCCTTGATATAACTCCAATACCAGATTCTCAATTTGCAGATTTATTTGAACAAATTTTGCCTTTTATTGTATACTAAAACCTACCCAAACCTACTGACATAGAGTCGATACCCAATGCCTTACCACAGTGCTGCTAAAGCTCCTAGGCACACAATAATAGTATTGTTGTTGTTGTTATGTGCCGTCAAGTCGGACCCGACTCATAGTGACCCCACCTTGGGTTTCCGAGACAGTATCACTAAGGAAGTAGATTGCCCCATCTTCCTTCCAAGGAGTGGCTGGTGGGTTTGAACTGCCAGCCTTCTGGTCAGCAGTCAAGTGCCTTAGGCACTATGCTACCAGAGCTCCTCAATAATAGTATACTCATTAATAACTCAATTCATGATAACTAAACTATTACAGTAAGGAGCTCTGGTGGAATAGTGATTAAGGCACTGGGCTGCTTACCAGAAGGTTGGCGGTTCAAACCCACCAGCTGCTCCATGGAAGAAAGAGAAGGCAGTCTGCTTCTGTAAAGATTTACAGCCTTGGAAACCTGATGGGGGTTGCTATGAGTTGGAATTGTCTCGATGGCAGTGGGTTTGGTTTGGGTTTTTGAGTTACATTTAATAAGCTCCTACTTTTGTATTTAGTACAGGTCACTGAATGATGAGTATATCAGAGTTTATTATTTTATTCTTTATTTCTATGCTTGAAATATAGTAAAAAGAACATGTGCCCAATATGATAAAAAGCCGAATACTATGTTGTTATTGTTAGTGCCAGGTTGAGTTGGCTCTGACTCATAGTGACCTTATGTGCAATAGAACAAAACACTGCCTGATCCTGCGCCATCCTCACAATACTTGATATGCTTGACCCCATCATTGCAGTCACTGTGTTAATCCATCTCGTTGAGGGTCTTCCCTTTTTCGCTGACCCTCTACTTTACCAAGCATGGTATCTTCTCCAGGGAATGCTCTCTGGACCAACATGGTCCAAGGTGGTGAGATGAAGTCTGGCCATTCTTGCTTACAAGGAGTATTTTGGCTGTTACTTCTTCCAAAATAGATTATGTTTGTTCTTCTGGCAGTCCATGGTATTTTCAATATTCTTTGACACCACCACAATTCAAAGGCATCAATTCTTCTTCAGTCTTCCTTATTCATTGTCCAGCTTTCACATGCATATAAGGCGACTGAAAATACCATGGCTTGGGTTAGGCTCACCTGTCTTCAAAGCAACATCTTTGCTGTTTAACACTTTAAAGAGGTCTTTTGCAATGGATTTGCCCAGTGCATTACATCATCTGATTTCTTGACTGCTGCTTCCATGGGTGTTGATTGTGTATTTAAGTAAAACAAAATCTTTGACAACTTCAGTCTTTTCTCTATTTATCATGATGTTGCTTATTGATTCAGTTGTCAGGATCTTTGTTTTCTTTGTGTTGAGGTGTAATCCATACTAAAGGCTGTAGTTTTTGATCTTCATTGGTAACTGCTTCAAATCATCTTCACTTTTAGCAAGGAAGGTGGGGTCACCTGCATATTGCAGGTTGTTAATGAGTCTTCCTCCAATCCTGATGCTGCATTCTTCATATAGTCCAGTTTCTTGGATTATTTGCTCAGCAAACAGATTGAGAAAGTATGGTGAAAGGATACAGTCCTGATGAACCACTTCCTGATTTGAAACCATGCAGTATCCCCTTGTTCTGTTCAAAAACTACCTCTTGGTATATGTACAGATTCCTTATGAGAACAATTAAGTGTTCTGGAATTTCCATTCTTCGCAGTGTTATCCATAATTTGTTATGATCCGCAAAGTCAAATAATTTTGCCTTTACCAAATACTATACACACATATTATTTCAATAATATAAACATATATATACACATGTATGTGTGTGTGCATATATATATATTTTACAGAAAAAAGGTAAGAGGGAGAAAATTCACAATTAATATGTGTTTGTCTCTCTGTATTGTGGGAGTATAGTTTTTGTTTTCCATGCTTTTCTGTATTCTAAGTTTTCAACAATGAGTATATAAAATAATGGAAATGGAATAAATAAATTCCACTGACTATTAAGTCTTATCTTTGCCTGATGCTTCTGATCTGCTATAAACCAGTGATTTGCAAACTACAACCAAATGCCCAAATTCAGCCTGTCACATATTTTTATATACAAAGTTTCACTGAAGCACAACTGTGGTGGTTAAATTTGTGTGTCACCTTGGCCAGGCCTGGCTGAATGGCTGGGCAGCTGGTGGTAGTTATTCCCCATGATAAGACTGGCAATCAACTCCATGGTGGGCCCTACCACAAGCAGCTGAGTAGCTGCTTTAGGGATGTGGTCTGCTTCCTGTATATAAGAAACAGCTTTGGGAAAGGTCTCTAGCTTATGGCACACTCAAACCCTGCATGTAGCCATGTCATTGTTCAGCAGACTGCCATGCTCTGCTGACCTTGAGACCTTCCGTGGATTTGAATTAATGGGCTGCCGTGTGGTTTGATAACATCGGGACTATGCCTTGTTACTTGTCCTTGGGCTTGTCAGTCTCAGTACCTAGTAGCTGTATCAGTGAAGAAAAGTCTCTAGCCGGGAGCAGGAAGCAGAGCTGAACCTCAAGGTTGAGAGGCTTTCACCTAGCCCCTAGAGCCTGGTACTTCGAACTCAGACTTCAGCCTCCCAAACTGTAAGAGCATAAACTCCTGTTTGTTCAAGCCATCCCATTTGTGATACTTCTGTTAGAGTGGTACTAGGTAGCCAGAACAACCATACCAATTTATTTACATGTTGTCTACGGCTGGTTTTGAAATATAAAGGCAGAGATGAATAGCTGAGACAGAGACCCATTGGTCCAAGAGCCTCAAGTATTCACTATCTGGTCCTTTACAGAAAACAGTTTTGTAACCCCTGCTGTAGACCACAAAATCAGATTTTTAAAAAAAGTATTCAAGTTGAAATGTAAAATAAGGATGAATTCCAAATGAGGGAAGACCTGTAACACTCCTCCGTAAATGTCATCAATTTTAGGAGATCTTTTAATACATGTATCTATTTTACATTGTCAATTTTTTGTTTAATTTCTGCTACTGCCAATGTTCTAAATATGTGTGGCATTCAGGTAAATTACTGCATTATTGAAAAAGACTTTGGGCTTCTTGGACAAATATTTTCAACACAAAAAAATAAAAAGGAATTTTAACTAGCTCTGGTGATGTAGTGGTTAAAATATTAGGTTGCTAAGCAAAAGGTGGGAGCTCTGGTAGCATAGTGGCTAAGACACTTGCCTGCTAACCAGACGGCTGGCGGTTCAAACCCACCAGCCACTCCTCGGAAGGAAGGTTGGGCAATCCTACTTCCATAGTGATACTGCCTCGGAAATCCAAGGAGGGGTCGCTATGAGTCAGGTATGACTCGACGGCACATAACAACAACAACAAGAAGCAAAAGGTCGGCGGTTCAAACCTACCAGATGCTCCGCAGAAGAAAGATGAGGCAGTCTGCTTCCATAAAGATTTACAGCCTTGGAAACCCAATGGGGGCCCCTATGAGTCAGAATCAACACAATGGCAGTGAATTTGGGTTCTTTTGGTTTAATACCCTTTTGAGAGCACTGGTAGTTCAGTGGTAGAATTCCTGCCTTCCATTCAGTTCCTGGCCAATGTACCTCAAAGTGCAGCCACTACCCATCTATCAGTAGAGCCTCCGTGTTACTACGATGCTGAGCAAGTTTCAGTGAAGTTTCTAAACTAAGATAGACTAGGAAGAAAGGCCTGGCAATCTGCTTCTAAAAATCAGCTAATGAAAACCCTATGGACCACTATGTCTGACCCTGTGGTACATGAGGTCACCATTAGTCAGAGCCTGACTTAAAGACAGTTAACAAGAAGAAACCCCTTTTACTTTGTTTCTTTACTTCTTTCTCTTTTATTTTCTACAAATCAGGACAACCAATGTTGAAAATTATTGACAATAACTGTAGTTTTGGTAACAAAATAAAACTGCACTTTCACCCTAATTAATGGTTAACCAAACTTCTAATCTAAAACGGTGAAATTGTAGTTATTATAAACTGCTATTGAATACTCAAAAATTAAACCAGTTATATCATGTAAGCATCTCTAAATCATCTCTGCTATAGCAGAACAGTGTCATAATTGTGACTTATCCCTAAGACATTACAGAAATATCTTAAATACTTACATTTTGTTAATGTTTTATTTTGCACAATTGTCCAGCCTTCATCAGCAACCAAAATAATAGGCTGAATACGATCATTATGTTGGTAGTGAAATCTGGTGGGAATGTCTTCCTTAAGATAAACATTCAAGTGAGGATCACACCCTTTCAGTTTGTTATAAACCTCTGTTGTATCTAGAAGAAAAAGAAATAGCAAAGAAGAAAAAGTCATAGTTGGCTATTAAGGAAAATAGCTTCGAATAACTGGAAATAAATTCTGAACAATATCATCTACTAGGTCACTTTTAATTCTTAAGAAACAGTAATAACTATTTGACAGTACAGAGGACTGATTATAACACAAACACACGTACCTTTTATATTTATACATTGTATACACACACACCCACACACTTATGCACACACACTTTTTTCATCCTGTGGATTACCCCTGGTGGACTTTTCTAGAAAGGGGAAAATTTTCATGTCTACCTTTCTAAGCAAATACAAACTTACTTTAAGATCAGTAGAAGACAGGAGTATCTCACACAAAAATCAATGTTTGCTTGTTTTAAATTTTATTGTGATTTGGGTGAAAGTTTACAGAGCAAATTCATCTTCCACACAGCAATTCACATACACTTTGTCTCATGACATTGACTGCAACCTCCCACAACACAACAGCTTTCCTCCCACTTTTTCTCCATAGCCACCTCTTCCCTGTGTCCTTCCCTCCCATGTACTGCCCCCCGAGCTGTCTCCCTGTGCATACACAGCCCTTCTATTCTCCCATGATGGATCTCTCCAAGGAGTGTATCTACCTAATGTAAATGTTCAGCTCTTATGCCTGTCTTTTGTTTGGCTGGAAGCCACAGGAGTGGGTTCAATTCCAGACCTGAAGGGCAACTAAGGGCCACAGTCTCAGAGGTTCTGCCAGGCTCTATCAGACCAGCAAATCTGGTCCTTTTTTTTTTTTTTAATGATTTTGAGTTTTGTTCCACATTGCTCTCCCACTCTATCCAGTATCTCCTACATAGATCCCCTCTAAGTGGTTGACTAGATGGTAGCCAGGCACCATCTAGTTCTTCTGGTCTCACAGTCATAGAGGCTGAGGATCACATGGTATACCAGTCCCTTGGACTAATTGTTTCCATGCATCTTTGGTTTTCTTCATTCTGCTTTGTTCTGGACAAGGAGACCCATCACTGCATCTAGATGGCCACCTGCAAGCTTTTAAGATCCCAGTCACTACTCGCCAAAGTAGGATGTGGAACAATGTTTTTGTGTAGGATTTTATGCCAATTGAGCTTGATGTGTCCTGCAACCATGGTCCCAAGCCCACAGGTCCAATTACTTGCTTCTTCTGGGTAGGTGGCTGTGGCCAAGAAGTGACCACAAAAAAAATCAAAGGTGTTTTTAAGGATAAATATTTCCTCTTTCTGTTAATGTGAATAATTAAGCAGTACTCCAAAATGCAAAGAAGTATCACTTTGAACCCAAACCTTAATCCAACTGCCTAAAACTTGTAAACTATGGAAGAAACATAATGTCACACTGAGTTAACTGTATGTGGTCCTAAACTACAAAAAGCCAGAACTTCATTCTTTCACACAACTCCCCATCCTCAATCAATTGCCTCATTCAAATAACAGCATCCTTAGGGCAAAAGTTTACTTACTTATTTTTGGAATTATTGCAGCAACTGGGGACAAATCTATAAGAATATAGTATGTACGATTGATGCAGTGATCCAAGTTTATCAGTCTTTCCTTAGAGCACTCGGTCATTCCATGATCACTTGTAATGATCACATTAAGATTTTCCCACAATCCTAACACTTTGAGTTTATAGACTAGGTCACCAATATGATCATCTATTTCTTTCAACACTGTGCGCATGTTTTCTTTATCTTCAGGTCCATATTTGTGGCCACTTGCGTCTGGTTCTTCCCAATAGAGTGTTGCAAACGTGACTGGTGGGTTCGAACTGCTCAGCCACCTAGTAATATTATTTAGTCTCTCTTCAAATGACACTGAAGAGTTATAATTCATAAAATAGGAAGGTGTGACATTGTGAATGGATACATCGGTACCAGGCCACATAGCAGCAGCACTTGATCTGTTTCCTTGAACTTGATTAGTCACCCATATAGGTACTGCCTCATTCCACCAAAAAGGATCCTTGTCATTAAAGTCAGAAAAATGTTTCTTTGTGACAGCATCATACATGGAGTTAGCTACAATGCCATGGCTTTCTTCATACAAGCCTGTCACAATACTGTAGTGGTTTGGAAATGTTTTTGTGATAAAAACATTTTTAACATGTTCTACCAAGACACCTTCTTTAATAAAATTCTGGAGATGAGGAAATTCATAGTTCTGCAGATAGTCAGCTCTGAAGCCATCAAAGGAAACCAGTAGTAACTTGGGTGGAAAACTGTAAGAAGGGTTATCTCTAAAACCAGTTACAAGTCCAGAAGACATAAGTATTACTAATAATTTCATCATGAACATGTTGAAGAAGAGCAATCAGTATTCCTAAAATTAAAAAAACAAACAAACATAATTTGTAAGTAGTAATGATATTTGATTTAGATTAAGTTTCAGAATTTTTGCCATTGGGAGAAGGGAATCAACATTTATAAGCATTTTATATGCATTTCATATTTTATATTCCTATATCAACTTAAAAATTAATGTCATTTATTGAAAGATAACTGAATAAAGCTAAATTGGAAAAAATGAAAATTGCCTCTCTTTATCTAATTTCCTATTTATACATTTCCTATCCCATCCATACACTTCAAAGGGAAAACGGGCCATTCTTACACACCACCTAAATACTCCTGTTTGGCTGCTTTGCTCATCTTATTCTAAAGGCTTGATAAGAACAGATGAAGAAACTAAAAATATACCTACTCCTCACTTACTACCTCATTGTTCAACATTTCACATTTGCAATAATAGCATATAATCTATTACCTGATGATGATTTTGTGCATCAACCTGAGTTTCTTCCCTTTGTCCAGCTTCCAGCCTGCAGAGCCACCCATGTCTGTCAGGCTTGCAGCTGAAGCAGCCAGCTCTCCATAAGGCCTCTTGCTATTCCCATCCCCACCACTGGAGCCACCATTGCAGCTATTCTTGTGACCGAGACTGATTTTGAGGGAGTCTTTCTGAAAATCATGCATGCATGAGTAGCTGGAGGGACCCCAGGAGGAGATGGGGGTGGGGGAGGTTACTGTTGCTGCTCCCCTCTACTCAAGCACCGTGGAGAGACCAAGTCCTGCAGCAGGAAGGAAACTGGGGTAATTCAAGGCCTGGGGGCTACAGCAAAAGCTGGTTGGCTGTGCCCTCCTCCTCTGTGGCCTGTCCAGGCTCTCAGCCTCAGACTCCATGCTTTCCAAGACCAATAGCATGTCCCTCATTTCCATGGGGTACTCCCCAGCAAGGTGGAAGCAAGTGGCTGGGGTTGTGGAGCAGTCAGCTGGCACGGGCAGCAACTCTCAGTGACCATCTTGACTCCTGGTCCCACCTGTTGTCCGAGCCCCTCAGCCTCCAACTTTGCCTCTATTTCAGCCTCAGGGCTCCAAATCTGCTCAAGTACCAGGCTCTACATCAAGGCCTTGGGGACCAGAACACAGCAGTACTGGATAGAAGGCAGGTGCAGCAGTTCCAAAGGCGCAGGCTCCCAGGCCACCTGTGCCACCTCTTCCTCTTTGCCTAACACCAATTTTGTCTAATGATCTGGTCTTCAGAACTGAACCATGTCCACAAGCAAGGAGTGGGTGTATCCCTTTTCCAAAAATACAAATAATGCCAAGCTTTCAGAGGGTCCAGAGAAAAATTATTTGTTAAGTTTAATGACTAGTGCCCTAGACTTCCTTATAATCCACAGAAATAGAAGGTGGAAATTCTACCATATTTTCCCATCACCAGTTCTTGCTGACAAATACTGGCATAAGAAAAGAGGACTAAGAAATAAATGGTATTTTAAAAAGTCCCACCTTAGTCTGTACCTGCCCAAATATTCACATAAGGCTGATGAACAAATGGACATTATCTGCATGGACATCCAGGATGCCACAGGTCCAACAGTTGTTGAAATAAATTTTATCACCACTTCTGAAGAAATCCAACAGCTTCTGAAATGTATTTTATCACCACTTCCCACTTAAACTTTCTTTTTATGTTAGAGATAAAACTATTCTAATATCCCAGGCTAAGTTACCCTGATTTTTCCTTCTCTTTATTACCCATTGATTATAAAAACAACTTTCCTCTAATAAACCCTTCCTGTTTCAGTCTCTACCTTCTTCGATCCCTAAGAAAATGGGATATTGACTTAGGTAGAATGAATTGCTTTAAAGGGAAAGGATATTTTTTCATTTTAACAGGACAGATGGAGCAAAGAATAGGTAAGCTAACAGGTCTGAGGTGAAGGAAGCTGCTTTCTCTGTGTTGCAGGAAGTAGGATCCATTATTGAGAAGGAGTAGGGTGATGAAAGATTCAGTTTTAGGAACATGGAGAAGGTCTGAAACAGTCAATTTGGAGAATGAGAGAAAGTAGAAGGAAACTTTTGGATTGGTGGGCTATGATGATAGCTAGTACATTGAATTTTTACAGTGACATTGTTGATAGATTTTTTTCTAGCAGTTCAGTCGTCCTGGCAAAGGCATGAAGAAAATAGGTAGCTGATCCTATCCAGGACTGAGTTCTACCAGATACTGAAGGATAATGAAAAAGTTGAAGATACTGGCAGAAGTGTGACTGAAATTTGAGCTGCAACAACAAAACCAAAGCTGATATAGATGTAAGAAGTAGAGAAGGTTTTGGTCTAGAGATTGCAATGAAGTAAAAAAAATATATATACTATGTTTTAAAATACTGTGGAAATTACAATGACTCAGGGTTGTGGTCAGAGTCAGGTGAGTGAATTCATTATTTGAGAGTAATAAGAGTACAGCCACAGGATATGCACCTCAAGGTCCCAGTCATGAGCAGCAGTACAAGTGTGTTGGTGGGACTGCTAAAAGTATTAAAAGAAGATATGTGAAGTTACTAGCACAGTGGGTTTGGCACAAAGTTAGAGCTCCATATGTGCTAACCAATATGTTTATTAAGGAGCTCTGGTAGCGTAGTGCCTAAGGCACTTGACTGCTAACCAGAAGGTTAGCAGTTCAAACCCACCAGCCAATCCTTGGAAGGAAGATTGGGCAAGCTACTTCTGTAGTGATACAGCCTCAGAAACCCAAGGAGGGGTCGCTATGAGTCGGGTCCAACTCCATGGCACATAACAACAACAACAAAAACATGCTTATTAAGTTCATAAGTCATTTCTTGTGTATTGACTTTCCCTTGTTCTTTCAAACACACCAGCCAGATGATTTGTGCACTTGCAGTCATTCAAATACTTGCTGATTAAAGCTGTCACCTCCCTTTCCTTAACCCCAGAACTGCTAACTTAAATTTATGAAGATCAAAAGCATAAGATCTTACTTGTAAAGGATCTTCTGATCTGGAAAATTTCTACCAGTTTATGAGATGGGCAGCCTTCTGAGTGTGATGCATGACCGGCATTGCCCATGCCTTTCTAAGAAACTAAAAACAGTAGAATGACAAAATCAAACCATTTCTCCAAAGGACGAGTTGTTGTTGTTATGTGCCGTCGAGTCGGCCCCGACTCATAGCAACCCCTCCTTGGGTTTCTGAGGCAGTATCACTACGGAAGTAGGATTGCCCAACCTTCCTTCCGAGGAGTGGCTGGTGGGTTTGAACCGCCAGCCGTCTGGTTAGGAGGCAAGTGTCTTAGCCACTATGCTACCAGAGCTCCCAAAGGATGAGCAGCAATCCCTAATAACTAATGAGTAGTAGAAGAGACATACATCCCATAGACACAGCCCCAGTCATATCTCAGAAACTTAAGCTATCAAGAATCTAGACAGTAGTGCTCCCTTTTCATTTAACAGTTTTTGCCATTTTATATAGTGTTTATATACAACTCATCTCTTCCCTAAGACAGTCATAACTGGACTCAGCCAGACACCACTACCACACAGGTTAGGTTCCAGCAGTAATGGAACTCATTCATGTAAAGAGCATGCAGGTCTCCATGAAAGCCTGCAATGAGTAGGTTCTCTCTGGGTACTTCTCTATACCTAAATACTTTTTTTTTTATAATAGAGTGGGAGCTCTCGTAGTGTAGTGCCTAAGGCATTTGACTGCTAACCAGAAGGCTGGTGGTTCTAAACCCACCAGCCACTCCTCAAAAGGAAGATTGGGCAATCTACTTCCGTAGAGAAATTGCCTTGGAAATCTAAGGAGGAATTGCTATGAATCGGAAATGACTCGACAGCAATGAGTTTGGTTTGGTTTTTGGAATAACACAGAAGATTTAAAACAGCAACCATATGACACAGTATTTTCTCAAGGGTAAAAGATACTCATAGATCTATTAAAAACAAAAACAGTCTTCATTTATTGCCCTGGCTCTCTCCCTGGATAACCACTGTGAAAATCCCAACCAATCCCATTGTCACATAGGTGATCTGCTGGCCAGTCAAACTTGATATATGGCAACTTAATGCATTGCCTAAGGCACTTGATTGCTAACCAGAAGGCTGGCAGTTCAAACCCACCAGCCACTCCTCCGAAGGAAGGTTGGACAATCTACTTCCATAGTGATACTGCTTAGGAAACCCAAGGAGGAGTCTCTATGAGTCGGGTCCAACTCGACGGCACATAACAACAACAAACTCATTCTCTATACCACCAAACCCACTCTACTTCCTTAGTTCCCTAGTCCTTTAAGACAGCTTTAACATCCTCTCATTACACAGAGATATCCTGCACACACCATCAGTTCTACTTTTACCTCATCTAATACAGCAGAGTAGACCTAAGACTCATTAAGGAGAGCTTGTTAAAAGCACAAGTGTCCAATCAAGAAATTCTAATTTAGGATAGAGGTATAGGGTAGAGGTTAGCAACCTGCAGTTTTCACAAGCATTTTTAACAGCTACCTACTCTTTTCTATCTCCACTGTTGGAATACGTCTTAAAGCCCTCAATACCTCCTGCCCAGAATACTATAGTTTTTAAACTGACTTTCCTACATCCAGGAGCTCTGGTGGTGCAGTGATTAAGGGATCTGGCTGCTAACCAAAAGGTCCATGGTTCAAACCCACCAGCTGCTCCACAGAAGAAAGATGGGATCGTCTGCTTCCATAAAGATTTACAGCTTTGGAAACCCAATGGGGGTTGCTATGAGTCAGAATTGACTCAATGGCAGTGAGTTCCCCCCCCCCTTATGTCTGCCTCCCTCACATTCTCATTCAGCATTGCTGCCAACTTAATCTTCCTGGGCACAACCTGGGCATAACTCTATTCATGACACTTTTCTAACTAAAAAATTTAAAGGGTCTCCTGCCTATATAGAAAGTCCAAACACATCAGACTGACATTCAAGCCCTTCCACTGTCTAGGCTTAACTTGCAAATTACTATGAAATAGCTACAGAAATAGTCACCAACCTTAAT